AAAGTTGATCATTCCATCAAAACATCTCCGAGCAACTCGTTTCACGCTATTAGCGAATTTTCAACCCTCTTAGCCACCTTCCAACACGAATTCCGAGCATGTCGATCGATTTGCTTCGTCGAATTTTCGTGCAGTTTCTTCTTTTCGCAGAGGCGTCCGAGCACGACGATAGAAGCATCAATACGTAGCACGCCGAAAAGGGACGTCCTGTGGCGAAATTTGCACGCGGCACTTGCTCGAATGTTCCGTCAAAGGGTTGTTCGGTTATGCTAATTCACAGTGGCAATGATCGGCATTCGCTGTTGGAAGCTGTTTCCCGATTGTCCACGATCTATTCGGCGTCAAAGCATCCGACGCGACGCAGCTGCGTCGGGCTTTCTCCTTGCATCGTTTTCGAAAATTCGAGGTCACAATACGCTTTTGCTTTTTATATTTCGTTTTATATTCCGCATAACTCGAGCAACGCAACGTCGTAATCGTAGAATGTTTACGATTACAAATTATTACAATTACGATTATATAATTTTTCAACGGGGTATTTGTACGTGTATCGAGTGTATTATTTCCATATTCAGTTTACGATACATTGGCGATACTGTAAGTGATAGAATCTGATCACTGCATAAAGAAACGTATGTCTCCTCTCTTTTTGGTGACAAACGACTCCGTACGATAACGTTGCTTCGAATGATACAAAAGTACGTATAAAATGATCGTTCTCTTTAAGTCATGCTTTCACGGCGAGGGAAAGCATCGTGAAACCACAGGACCACGCGTGCACGTGCTCTTGTAAAACAGACAACCGTCGAAGATGGTACTTGGAGGCGATTCTGTGGAACGGCGAAGAGAAAAGACGAAGAATGAAAAGTGAGACCGGGAAAGGCGCCTCTCTTTTCGTTGCGGGCACGGGCCATCTGGCAGACCGATCTTTTATAGGATCTATCTATTCCCGCGTCCTCTCTTCAATGAAGGACCCACTCGCGCGGAAGTCCCTGGCCCTTTTGATTAATGGCTGACGAGATAAACCGCCTCGTTTCCTCGATCGCGGCGGGACCACCAAAAACTTTCGAGTCGGACTATTTTCATCCAATATTTTAACGGCGACACTTATTTCGCGATTGCTTGGTTTTTGGCGACACATAAAAGTCCAAAAAAAAAAATGATTTTCTTACCAACCTGATAGCTTGCGTCTTATTTAACTTACCTTGAAAACTTTTCGACGCTTTCGTTCGATCCTCGATGGATCCACCCTTTCCCACCCTGAAACGTCACCATCGAGGATCGGTAAACCGCGAAGTGGCGGCGACGGAGGGATCGTACGCGCATGCGTTCTCGGCTGGCTCGAGATGACAAAGACAACTTGTCGCTGCGGCGAGGGTAGGGAAAAAAAAGTAGAATAAATCATTGGCGGGTACCAGGCGATGAATCCCGTTGGGTTCATTCGCGTGGAAGGGGCATAATCAAATTTCAGCCCGCCATGCAAGGGGCGGCGACTCTGCGGTTGTGCACACTTTCGAAGCTTTTCTGCTTACCAGGAGGGTGGGACTCGCTCGAGGGCTATTATGGGGCTTGCCTTTGCTTACCCCCTCGGCTACCATCGGACAGGCTGGGGGTTTTTACGCTCACCCAACCGTGTAGCCCGTGGATTGCATCCGACGTGACGCGACCGACGCCGACGTCTCGTGTGAACTGGAGACGGGATCGATTATTTATTAGACGAATTTGTTTTGTATCTACTTGGAATTTCTGTATCTCAATTATTTGACTAATTAAGACATTATTATCGATAGTTTATATATTCTTGCATTTAGGCACGTCTTCGCACATTCCCCACATTTTCGCTTGTCGTAAATATCTGCAGTCTGCTAACAATCATCGTTTATTCCTATTATAGTAGTCGGGACAAACATTCGCGTGTTCGAACACGAAACTTGACCCTCTACTGGATGAATTCTGAAAGCGTATATATACATGCACTTTTTTTAATACAAATTTTTATTACTTTTATTTTATACATTTTATTTTTTCTAGCAAGTTTCTTAGATCTTTTTTTTTTTTTCATTTGAGATACACCGAACCGCGGAATAGAAAGCCGCATGATCGATGACGGTCACCGCGATCGTTCAGAAATTTACTTCCCTATTGTTCAACGACACTCGGAGCTGTCGATCGTTCAATTCTAATCGCCCACGTGCTCTCGCGTCCACTGTTCGTCCTCGAGAGCACGGATTCGTCGGGAAAAAAATTCGTGGTTCCGCGAAATTGGGAAAAAAAAGTTCTGTCGATATGTATCGACCTATCCATCACTTCTTATTGACAGAAGTACAAGAAGATTTGACGAGGCGCGCGCGCCGTACTTCAATTTTTTGCACTTCGATGGAGTTTACCGGTCCAGCGTGTCCAGAAGCCTGGAAAAAAATATTTCCTACGTGTACATTGCAAGTTGCAATTCAATATTTTCGAATCACGAATGTGGAAACGATAGATATTACGATAATAATAAATGTATCGTTTCAATGTTGAATTAAATTCATTTTTTTTTCAGTATTGCGTGTGTGTGTGATATGTTTCAAATTTTGTTTAGAATTTAGAGATCTGTCTAAAGTATCTTCAATTTGTGTATTTTTAATTATAATCACGCGTGTCTTTGGATGCGTTTTGTGTATTAAACGTCAATTCGATAATCTGTTCGTTAGCGTACAGGACGATACCAATAGCTTTCAATTTGAAATTATTACCCATCGATATCGTCAAGGACGAACTCGAAGCATACCTGTTTCCAGAGGGTGTCCATTTAGTTTCTGTATTAATATCAGTAGTACGTAGAGTCACCTAAGAAAACAGTCGCAGGAACAGTTAACAAAGCCTACTTCTGCGTTGACCTTCAAAAGAATTCAAACGAAATTCGCGTAAGTCGAATTTTGAAAGGATTGGCTCGAGAAGGTTCATCCTGGACTCTGTTTCTTTGCGTCGCGAGCAGGAAACGCAAGCGTCGCTGTCGCTGAAATTTGATGGATCGCTCGTGAAATCCACCGTCAAGGATCCCTCGATCCGTCTTACTTTCCATCCTATACGTCATAACAACCAGTTGCCATTTTTCAAAAGACTTGGAGTCGTTTTGTCAAAAAATTTGCTTCCGTTCGGTCAGCGCTAATCCGCTTACCCTTGAACTACGCTATTTCGCGCAACGTTTCAAAAATTCAAGTTCAAGTTTTTGTGAAAATATTTTCTATGTACAAATTTATTTTTTTATTAAACCTATGTATCGTACAAAAATTTCACGAACCTTAAAGTAGAACCGACCGAAATATACATTTTTGTTTACAATCATGCATCTTTGCTTAAAATTGGCATTTCTCGAACTATGAATGTTTCCTGTGGCACTCAAAGGACTAGTACCTGTATCGCCGTAAAATCGCCAATGTTCCTCCTTTTTTCCTCGCGTTCTCGAAGAGTCCTGTTGTTTACCTCGCGTTTAGTTCGAGGTATCGTCCCCTGGCTATCGGTCACGTGAGCGAGACGAGGCGGATCCGCGGCCAGAACGGCTAGAAAAGTCGTTCGTGTCGGGCCGAGAGCGTACAAAAGGGGACCAAACGGTATCAATGGTCCCGGGAGCTGGTTTTGTGCGATCGTATGGACAGAAGGCCACGGGGGTTGCATCGGAGGAAGATAGGGCGAACTGGAGGCCCGACGCGACGCGACGCGACGTTTCGCTTCTGGAGGGTTGCCTACCAACTTTGAGTGTTACAATAAATCAACTCGCTTCTGCGGAGCTCCACCCTCGTAACTTCGTCGAAATTTATCCCACAGAGGACACGACGACCGTTTCATTGTGTTTAAAGTGCTTCCCGTTCGCGTACGAGCCGTATAAACAATTTATTGTTGCTTCCTGTCACGCGTACGCGTAATATCTCGATCGCTCCACGTGCGATTTCAGGCTGTATAAAATTAACGTTCGTTTCCAGGTTAGATACGTTACCAAAACGGAACGTTCCATGTATCCTGATGGCAATTAATTCCAGGCATTCTAACCGGGCAAGGGAGAAGGTGATGAAAACGATTAACCCTTTGCGCTCGAGAGGGTGACTCTCAGTCACCACAAGGTTTTCTTTAGATTTAATTTCTTTGGAACTCAAAGTGCCAATAAAATGACTGTCGTTGAGGCAAAGGCGACCCCTGATTCTCAAATCTCAAATTAGAGATCTCATTCGAGAAGTCAATATAATCTTAGCATTCGTGGCAATAGAATGCTGAGAAAGCATCTCGAGTTGCTGGTAGATATCAGAAAAAAATTCCTCGAGTTCAAAGGGTTAAGAATCCTCCTTGTCCAACCTTGAGAGCGTTCGTAACTTCCGAGCGTTTGTTACCGATTGTCGTAACGTCAAACGAATCGAATCGAGTCAATGATTGTAACAAGATGTACAGTGTCGTCGCGAATAGAATTTGTAAAAATGGCGATGGCTAGGTGGGTCCGATGGAGGTCGCAATTACTCGATTCCGTGTGTTTCGAGCTTCGTTACTCCCATCTAGATCGTCCTCCGTCGTCGTCCTCGCTGTCCTCCCTTTCTCTCAGCTCCTCGACCCAACAACCCTGGCGACAATAGCGAGCGCACCCCATAGCAGCGGGGAGCGATTAATTCTCGACAAAAGGGGACGCGTATCGCTCAGCAAGCCCTCGATAGGCCTACCCAAAGCCCATCTTTGCCTTACTACAGTAGGGTAGTTCGACACACTCCTTCTTCAGGGCTACCTTCGCCTCCGAACGGACCAATCCCAAATAGGGGGTGGGAACCTTGACTGGTATATAACCGGGGGTTGTGACCCGACAGTGTAACAGTCGTCTTTGAATATTCGTGCCGATGCTACTCCTCGAGCCCCTTGCGAAAAACCACGTGCGTTAAAGACGAGAGAACGAGCCACGGAACCTCGAGTTCGATCGTCTTCGAAAAACTTACGTTTCCATAAGAGTCCTCGCGTGAGTTCCTCGAGGGAACCACACCATGTGCGAGCCGCGCAGCGCGAAATTCTTCAGGCCCTGGAACGTCAACGTCGACGATATAGCAGACATCGATCCTACCACGAGCGCGACTCGCGCGAACGACGAGAGGACCAGCGAGCGAGCGGTAAAGGAAGAAGGGAACGATGCTTTATCGATATACGAAGAAAGCAGCGCGAATAGTTTGTCAGGAAACGAAGTTACATCGTGCGGTGTCGAATGTTCGCGACGACGCAGTGAATCGCCTGGAGAAACGTCCAGAGGATCGTGTTCGGCCAGCAGCGGGGATGTGCTCACCAGGAACAGTTTGGATGCGCTGGACAACTTCGCCATCGGCTCGACCACCAGCTTCTCGGTGACCTCCATGATTCGGAAGGATCTGGAGATGCCAGGGGTTCCAGGTCCGGGAGTCGGCGGTCGTTCGATTCCATCGACCGAGTACACGATGGAATGCCTCCAGAAAATGGCACTTCAGCACACGAACATGCTCGTCCCTCTGTGCGGTGGGATGGTGCCAATGAACGTCGAGGCGAACATCCAAGCCTCAACGATCGCGACGACTGGCCAGCCGTTCTTCTACGGGTTTCCCGGTGTTCCACATCTCCCTCAGGAGTTGTACTCTCCCTCGATGGAGCAAGCAGTCGAACTGATCCACAGGCAGGACGCGGTCGCCAAACAAATGAAGAAACTGCGACCGAAGAAGTTCAGGTGCGAGCATTGCGACGTCGCGTTCAGCAATAACGGCCAGCTGAAAGGACACGTTCGCATACATACTGGTAAGACACGCTCGAATTATGTACAATTTTATTCGCGTCCCGTACGACTAGCTTAACTGACAATTTTGGACGAGTCTAAATAGATTTGTTTATCGAGGAAATGTTTCTTTGCAGAGGTATCTGATTACATTCAGGGGATATCGTTTAACAAGCTGACTGCCAGACAAATATTCTCGAAAATTTCTACTAGGATCGAATATTATCTTAGACTATTGGTATCGATTTTTGTAACTCCATCGAAATTCACGAGTTTCATTTAAATTCGTTTTCTTTGTTGTTCAACTTTCGGAATTATTTTTTTTCACTTATTAATTGCACTTCATTCAATTGCAATTGGTACGAATATCTATCAGACTGACTCCAAATACGCGCATCCAGAAACGAAATTGTTTTGGTTGCAGGCGAGAGACCCTTCAAATGCGACGCGGAGGGTTGCGGTAAGTCGTTCACCAGGAACGAGGAGCTGACGAGACACAAGAGGATCCACACTGGGCTAAGACCTCACGCCTGCGTCGTCTGCGGGAAATGCTTCGGTAGGAAGGACCACCTGAAGAAGCACATGAGGACGCACGAGAGTCGAGACCCTTATCGCATGGCTCTGGGAGCTTTCGCACTGGGACACGCGCTACCGCGAGGGCACGCTTTCCCTCCGTACGTCTATCACCCGATGTGACAAGACATCGACGACTAGATCGCAGTTATTTTTGTAAGATTAGCTTATTCCACAACGAGAATCCCTCCAGTTCACTTTACATGGTTGGGGGGCGCGTAACAGGGCAGAATTTTTATTCGATTAATAGAACACGAGTGAAAAATGACGAGTGATGAACATGAAACAATGTTTTATTCTATGATTCGACTATTGACACAAATATCGATTAAATAATGCCCTTTACGTACGCGTGCTCGGGACGACAATACGCGAAGAACGAACGACTCGATGTTATAGTATTTTTGTATATTGTATACCAGGTTTTTGGATATCCCATCAGAGATTATCGTACAAATTGATAATCATCGCGCGATTGCCTTGTTGTAGTGGCTGTTCATTTGACGAGAGGTCATCGTCGAAGAGAATTGTATTTTTGATACTATGTGATATTTCTATTCCGTATTTGCGAGCCACGACCGGTGTCTTTATACTAGTCACGTTGAATATTTTTTAAAATGTAAATATTGTATCGAATATCAGATGTTTATATATTTATATATTTATTTACACGCGCAGCTGGCGCGGAGATTATAACATAACTGACGAATAAATTGTTATCTATTTTTCACACTGATACATCGCGTTGTATTCGACGAAGAGTTCCTTCTCCCTTGATAAATAAACCAATTAGAAAACAGTCGAAAAACGCACACGCATCCCTTACGATATATGGACAATTTTAATTACTTTATGGGTTACATGTTAAACTACGGAATCTTCGTAGTTTGTTTAAAAATATTTTTAGTTTTGTACCGTCGAGAGCCACCACCATTTTCCTCTCAATTAAATCCAAGATGGCGTCAACCAGAAGCCTCTGCAACCCCCCATGAGAGAAATAGGGAACCCCCTTCCCTTGTTATAAAGCGACTGTCAGGGAAGGGCTGGTTGTCAGGACGGGGAGGGGACGAGGGTTGCGCCCTTTTGCACTCCGGAAGGGACGTTTACCGCGTGCGAGACTATCTCTGCCCTTCATCCGATTTTTTTTCTCGCTTTAGATTACAATACGTTCTTGCGGGACAGCTCGTGGCCGCGTACATAAATGTTTCGGTCGATTTCAGGGTTGGAAGTCACGAGGGGTGGCCCCGAGAAAAAAAAACTCGACTTCAATTAATTCCCCTGACAGATATCGCGCCGATTTTTTAATCTCATCCTATTGTAAGAGAAATTGGCTATAATAGAATATTTATTGTAGCCTCCACGAGTTACTTAATTCCCGACGAGAACACTTAACTTTATTTTTACTGACTTTTTCGCTATCTCGCTCGTACTTTTTGTTGTTTATTCGTGACCAGGACGTTTGATCGAGATATAGCGTTTCAATAATTAGTACAAGAGCACGATAACTGGTGCAGGAAAAACTGGGGAAAGCAAGACAGCTTAGGATTAAGTGCGTTAGATTTTCACACTTGGACACGGAGATTTTCGGTAGCATCCCTGGGCAGAGGCAACCCGCTGGGATATTCGTTCGAGCTCGTTGACACCCCCCTACGGATCCGCTGATATATGACACAGTGGCCTCCTGAACGTCTCTCTCTCTCTCTCTCTCTCTTAACGCATTTCGCTTCCTTATGAAAAAGTATAATCTTTTACAAAACAATACTCTCCGTTTATCATCATATAGGATAAAATGTCACTACATACCATATTAACATGTACGACAATATGTTCTCCCGTTCAACTTTCTTTACTTACAATTAGTATTAAGGTTGCACAGGGAAGATCGAAGGAATTTTCAATTCGGAGGAAACAATACTTCTCTTAAATATTAAGACATTATTCGCGAGACAATTCTCTATATTCTTATATTCATAGACTTGAATAACTAAAAATAATGTAAAAAAATTACGCCTTACATAAAAACACTAAGTATAGTATTTTACATAGTATTTAACATACAGAATTTAGGTGGACCGTTTAGATTCCCTTCGAGACTTTCCACCCCTTCTGACCACCCTTCCAGCAAGTACATGTTGCCTTTCTCCTTATCCGAATACAAGGGGTGGCTTCCATTCTACGGCCAGGTTTAAAGGATCCCTTAAACGTGCCTGGGATTACAGCGATCCACGGGCTCCTTAATCTCGGATTACACTGGCGCTGGTCGCTTTAACGTCTAGGTGCCCGGGATTCCGGAAGGCGTGTAGCAGCCCCTGCTGTTCTTTGCAGTCGATCCTAAAACAAACAGGTTGCACAGCCGTCGTCTCGTCACGGTAGTCACAAAGAAAGAGTTCTTCGTGACGGAGGACTCGTCGCTGCCTCGCTGACGTAAAAATGAATCGTTGGCGCGGATGTTTGTGTCACGATGGCAGTAATGGTGTCTTCGCGCCGGGTGTTCTTCCTGTTCCCTCGAATTCACGCGTTCCTTTTAATAATCGAACGGTCCACGGGACGCCGAACGCGAGAATACGATCTTTTCGAGAAATGTTGTCGAGTAATAGCGTTTACGATCGATGGGGGCCGCTGCTTCGTTCCCTTGTAAATTCGACAAAAATTCGGTAGCTTACGAACAACGCCAACCATAAACGAAGGATCAAGGCTGAACTCGCCCTTCAGAAAGTAAAGCATCGATATCCCCAACTAGCAACAATTACCTGTTTAATAGAATAATAACCAACAATTTCAACAACGATTCCACCACCACCTAGAGACGGTCCCCGTCGCAGTCTTACCTGCGAAGGACTACGTTGCAAGGCGTCCTCGGGACCAAGAGACGCGCGCGCCACGGGTGGTCCTGTATATCGGAATGTTTGCCCACGTCATTGTTGCATCTCCAACACTCGATACGCAAGCCTATGGACCTGGCCCCGTTTAAAAAGCGTTTAGTCCCTAATAGCTGTCCCTCGTTTCTCGTCGAGAAGGGGCTCCTCTAGGGACTCTTCAGGTGCGCGACGACGAGCGTTCTCGCGCTCAACGGGACGCAACGCACACCCGGGGCGCGTTGACTTTCTGATATATGGATCGCTCACGATACCGCGCACTGGAATTGTCCTCCCGTTCTATGCGACCTCCTCGAATATCAGGACATTTCGTAGCTTCGCAACTTTCAATGGAGAAGACCAGGGGACGAAGCCGTTTCCACGAGAGTCGTCCATGGAGACGCATCAGGGCCAGATATTTTCGTACGTGTTACGTCCCAGCTCGCCTGGGACTTTGTCGGGACTGTTTCGGTCGTTATTGACGCGCAGAAGACGAATTTAGTCGGTCTAGATTATCTAAAACGGTCAGTATCTAAATTATTTCCTGTTTCATGAATATCTCTGTGTATATAATATAATATAAAGTCTTATATTTACTCGCTATGCGCTATCTGAGTCTGCCTCGCATTCGACGCTTTATTTAACAACGTTACGTACAGGCATCCGAAGCATGCCGTTGCACGAACACTCGCCTACGTCTATTCGTTACCAAACAACGAACGATTCTCAAAGGAACCCACCGGTAAAATCACAATCATTAATTCTGACGAGAGAGAACAAACATCGATTCTACCTGCGATCGACGTTGCTCGTCTATTACACGACTCGACAATGGACGTCGTCCAGCGACGCCCATGATCGCCCTTTGTAAACCTGGAATTACATTTTTCTCCGTTCACGGATCATCGTTATACGGACGAAGGACTCGAGCCCTCCCACGACAGCGGAGTCTCCGAGTGTCCTGGAACCGAGACAACTCCCAGGTTACACACACGTCGCTGAAATATCGTCTCCTCTCGTCCTTTCGATGCTCTTGGTATTTCGTTTTTCCTTGCTTCTTTTTTTTTCTTAATTCCCTGACATGAAAAAATGGGGCCCCGGTGGGCGGGTGGCCCCGTTCCCGAGGAAACCGGTGAATGGGGGATCGATGCATAGTGCCATTCATCCGCGCACCTGACTCCTGACTTTCGGTCGTGAGAATCGCTTCGGAGGTTTTTCGAGATCTCTTTCTTCGTCGCTGGTCTCGTTCGTTCGACGCGCACGGGGAAAAAAAGAGTCGCGAGGATCCCATACATTCACAGAAATATTCGTACCCTCTGCGTTTATCAAAGATGTTTGTCTAAATTAAACGACAGGTTTGATGTTTCCAAATTTTCTCGTTATAGATACATACGCATGTACAAATTTTCTATAATAAATATGTACATAAATAAATTTTACATGCGTATGTATCTATAATGAGAAAATTTATTTGGTAACGTCAAACCTGACAATTTAATTTAGACAAACTTCATTGATAAACACAGAGCGTACACTGCAGCCCATCTTCGTTTTCCTATTTCCTATTGTAAATTACGTGTATTAATTGACGTAATCTCGAGACAAATCATGTATGATAATCGATAGAAAGGAGCCAGAGCGAAACGAATAGCGGTCCAGGACCGTTAGCTTAGCTTCTCAAAATCCATTCACCTCGAGATAGATCAATGGTCGAGTGTTAAGGTGCCCACGCCCAGAAAGGGGCGCGTTGAGCACCTGTCGCATCGTTCGGTAAGGAAGTTAAATCACATTGATCCTACGGGATATACCTGGTTCGAGGCAAATTGCTTGAATGGAGCCTGGACGATCTTCTGCTCGTGTTTTTTTTTTTAAATCCTGAAAGCTTCTGAAACGCAATTCGACGTGGCTAGATAATTAATTCTATTCTTTAATTTTTTACAAGCACTCGGTGTTGAAGTACCGGTCTGAACAATAACGCGAAGGATCTCGTTCGAGACAGGTGTAAATCGATGTCCGACTTAGAATCGAGCAAAAGTATTTTAACATGTTAGCAGATAAGCGACTAATACGACTTGCTTTAACAGCAACAAGTATCTATCTCTCTCAAGCATTGTTTACTTTTCGCAAAACTTCGGTATAATCGGTGACAGTATTTATTGCTGTTCAGTGGTATAAGAAAACATGGTTCGATGGTACTGATTAACATTCAGTGGTATAAAAGCGTTCACTTCCTCTTCCTCTTCGTCTCGAAAGAAATAGATTTTCCCTTCTCTGTCTCCCTTGCCTTTCCCTGTATATTCCTCGCGTCCACGGAAACCTCACTGACCGCCATCCTTGTTTCTTCGTCCACTGGTGGCCTGTACACATCCTTGCAGTACTCCATTCGTTTCTTCGTCGACCAGGGTCGCGGTATCCTGAACTCGAGGTCGATATTTTGACCGCGTCTACTTCTTTTCTTCACCCTCAGCAGAAATATGTTCGGATTCTCCTCGACAAGCGTCGATCTGACCTTGGCTGTTTCGCTTTCCTCGTCAGTCTCCTCGTCAGAGTTCAAACTTTCGTCCAACGAGTGCACTCGAGGATACAAAGTCACAGTACGATTCCCGGAACTCTGCATCTGCTCCGTTCTGTCCACGCTCGTTCTCCCGGGTCGTGGATCCTCGACGCAGTCGCAAGGAGGCTCGTACTCCTCCTTGACGGGTTCCTTTTGCGTCCTGATCACCAATCGATTGTCGTTAATAACAGCCTCCAGTTCCTTGTAAGGCAACCCGGCGTCAACGATCTCGGAACGAATTTTTCGCGATGAGTAAGGCGACGTGTCTTCGGGTTTTATCGGACAGCACGTTGGTACCACGATTTCCGGCTTCTCGGGCCATCCCGAACGAGCTGGACGTTTGCCTTTCGCCCTTTCTCGAGAAGCGCAACACGGGGAACAGGGTGGCTTCTCCTTCGGCGGACATCCGCACTTGTGAGTCGCCACGATCATCTCTCAAGATTCTCGTTCATCTTATCCGAGGAAGTGTGGGTCCAACATGATGGAAGGGGGAAGGGTTTAAGGGATTTTTAGGCTAACAGAGATGGTGCCATGGCGGACATGTCGGCTGTGCGACCTGAACGTGTCTGAACCATGGAGATATTATATCTATAGAGTAGAGACTATAATCAGAGTCACCAAATAAAAAGTCAGAATTTTCAAAAATTCTCTTTGGTCTGAACTCGCGAATGTCAACAATCGATTTTGTAGTTTATCGATTGGAGCCGATCGGAGCATTGTCCCACCGCTCCTTGAAACATGTATTCGACGATTCCTTAAATCCCAAGTTCCGCTACTCAGACTACAATTGTCTTGGAAATCCGTGCCACGTAACCTCCGACTATCACTCAGGCGAGTTACTTTTGTCCAGATCTCAGGATGAATGTAATCGTGTAACCTATAAAATAATTTATTTAAGCCAATTAGTAATTTGGCCAAGTGTCTTCGACGAAACAACCGCTGGAAGATGTATTGTTGTCCACCGATGCCAGCCGCGCCATGTCCGCCAGCATGTCCACCGAAACCGACGAAGGATTCCTCCTCCAAGTACTACAGGGAGATAGGGACGGCCATGATCGGCAATCAGCTGATAATTCGCATGGAGAAGAAGAAAGGTAAATCGAAGAAATCCCGCGACTGGGATCCTCCGTGCGACTGCGACGTGGTGGAGATACAGAGGCCCTCGAGCAAGGAGGGTCCTAAAATACTGAAGGGGCCTGATAACAATAGGATCCTGTTTCGAGTCGAGTCCAAGTCCTACTTGTCCAGGAAGGACGATAGAGACTCCATGCCTCACGCGATCTCTTACGAGGTACGATGCCACTAATTGCAATCTATTAGAGAAAAACGATATTTTCGTGATATTTATTTTTGTGACTTCACAAAGATTCATGAATTTCGTACGGGTTCATTGATGCTTGATTTTCGGAATTAATTTTTTTAGGTGTTCATCGGTCATGAGTAACGTGGTAATTTCTCCTGTCCAGGTTGGTCGGTGCACGGGAGGTCCGAACACGAACGACCAGTGCAGAACGTTCACCATATACCCCGTGATGAATCGTCCGGGGTCCCAGGAAGTGCACACGGATCGCGTGACCGAGGGTGACCAAAACGTGTTCATGTTGAGGGTGAAGAAGATGCCATCTTCCAGCGATCAACCGAAGAGGAACGTCGAGCTGGAGCTCAGGACTCCGAAACCGCCGACGCAACTGGAAGTACAGCAAGCCAAGGAGAGTGTCCTCGGATCGAAAAGGAAGGACCAGAAGAAGCTCGTACCTGAAGAAACGTCGAAGAAGGACGAGGCGATCTCTCCCTGCGATTTTCAATTTTCCACCGAGAAAGAGCCGAGAAGAAAGAAGAGAAAGAAACGATGCTGGGCGATCCCACTTCCAAAGGTCCGTCATATCGACAAACCAGCGACCATTTATCGCCACTGTAAAATGTAATCATTCTTTTTATCGATACAATGATGATAACATTCTTGAGAAACTGCACACCAAATACTGTAGTTTCCATCTCATTTCTGTCTCAACTATCGTTACCAGTACAACGATTACGATTAAACATTTGTTCACGATACATCATGGATGAAATAACTACACGCGAACTAGTGGTTTTAGCGTTAAATATGAAGCCACAGAATTAACTTTCACACCTGAAATTATGTTTCTGCGGACGATCTTTTATCGAGGCGATCGTTTAAATGTCGATTCTTCCTACGGAACCGTGCGAAAATCCAAAAACGTCTATCGTTTTCCAGCATCCTCGTGAAATATCGTCTGCCCTTTCATCTCGTGGACGTCTTTCCCGCGCGTGAAGATCCTTTCTCTGTCCGAAGAGATTCGTCCCACGTATAATATCGCGGCCACTTGTCGTCCCATTGAAAACTGTGACCGCAGACTTTTCTTTACAAGCTCCCAGCGGAAAAAGCGTCTCCTCCCTGGTCCTCCGCCAACCGCCGTGATCATACGTGTCACGCTATTTTTCGTACATCGGGAGCATGTCCTTTCTGGTGGCCTCCTAATTTATTGGCCACAGGACCATTGTCAGAGTCGACCACACAGCTCGAACGACACCTTTATGAACTCCCACGACAATCGCGATTACGAACACCTCCACGCTTCGCTTTTCTTCCACGCTCATCTTTCCGCTCGTCCATTTTTTTCTTCACCTTAATAATCCCCGACGCATCGAAGTGGATCCTTCTCCGTTCGAGTGTCCTCGAGGTAGTTGTTTCGATCGAGGGGAAAAATGATTGTGGCTCTCGACGATACAAAAAAAGGAGAATATTTTTCTTTACATTCGTAAAATATAGCACCCTCTCGCGTTTTCTTTCCAACCTCGTGGAAATTTAACGCAGAAGTTAAATCGATCGGACGTCGTATAAGAAGTTACACACCAAAGTCTCAAGCATCTACAAACTTTGTGGGTTTCAACCCGAAGCTTCTCGTGGAAACAAATTGAGTCCCCTCTCCCTGAATTGAATGAGTCGAAATTTCTCAATGACGTTACCAACGTCGAAAGAAGTAGTTTGGGGTAATTACGAGGTCGCTTTGAGGCGCGACAATACGGTCTCAGGAGAGGTGTCGCGCCATCAATCGTCGCGTCGTTTCAACGGTGGCTCATTGAGCAACGACAGGCCTGACTCCAGCCGATGGAAAGGCACGAAGAAGCCCGAGGACGATTCGTCTGGCCGTAACGAAGCAATTTTCCACGGCTGGTCTGCGGGATGAATGAACGAGGAGCTGACTCGTGCACTTTCACGCGAGACCTGTTCGCGCTTTGCGAACTTCATTGAAAAACCCTATCGGCGAAGATTCATTCAGAGACCCTGCGAAGGACCGTGAATGCTTTACGAGCATTGCAACCTACGCTACCATTAGTTTCGATACAATTATTTTGTAAAATTCAAGGCTTGCCATTCAAAGGCGTCACTTATTCTATTAAAATCGATTTAATTTCACGAGGGAAGGTGTATTAAAAGTTTTTCTTATTTATTCTGTAAAAATGAAGCCGTGACTTATTCTATTAAAATCGATTTAATTCGCAGTTCGACGAGGGAAGGTGTAATTCTGTAAAATTCAATGAAATTAAGTCTGAGGTGTATACGCGGGGATAGCCTCAGACTTTCCGCTATCGAAGTCAGACTTCTTCTCTTCGCCGTTCTGTTTGGCGTTCAACTCCTTGATGGCCAATTTGGTGGCGTTTAAATCGGTATCGTCGTCGAGAATCTGCACGATTTTCTGCACCGTCGAGTACTCCATCACTACAGCTGACTTTCCGTCGTTCACTGTCTGCGACGCCTCCGACATCCTCGTCTTGTCCTCGAGGTCCCAGTTTCCGATCGTTTCCCTGGAACGAAAGCTCTTTTGTAAACGCGTCGCGCGAAAAAAAAGTCCATGATGTACATTAAAAAATAGTCTTATTTCTCGTATTTACGCGGACGGTATTCGTTCCTCGCTTGGCGATTTATTTTGAGCCAGGTGCTTCGGATTGGACTTGGCCTTTTGCTTCGACGTCCTCTTGCTCTTGGCTTCGTGATTCACCGCCGAGTTCGACTTGCTGCGACTGATGGATTTCTCTGTTTGCTTCGGAGAGCCACGTCCAGGCTCGTTCCTCGAAACTCCAGGCTTCTTCGAGGTCTTGGACACGTAGGTGCTCTTCAACTTGGAGAAAGCCTCTCTCGCCGCCTGTGACGCGGGGTCTTTCTTGAAACAGCACCGATGACTTCTGTATTGCCACCTAAGAAACAGATATGACAGCTAAAGTAAACTCATCACGAGTGGCAATTTGCTCTTCGATAGGCTCGAACGTGAAAGTACACGAAGAAATGATATTTAACATGCATCACGATGACAGGATAAAAATGCAGAGAGACCATGAGGTAATGTAGTATTTAACTAAATTTCACTTTGCATAACCGGTCAATTGGTGTTAGGTTCAAACAAATTTCACACCTTCCGGTGCGGGAACAGAGAAGGAGCGTTAAAATTCTAATTACCATAACGCGCAGGTCGTCACCGTCGAGCTGAACATGAAGAAACAGTTCAACACTGTCAGCACTATCAGCGGCTCCAACATGATAAAGATCCCACGCGGCAGGATCTTTCTAGCGACGACGATCTCGACTGGATCAGCGAAATTTTGACGTGTCGACCAAACGGAAGACACCGGTGTGCATAGTGGCGCCGAGTTCACTTGGATGATATTTGACGAACGATGCTAGAAGCGATTTCGATATCTATACTATACTATACCTCGATCGCTGACGCCTGTTGTTTTAGTATATACCGTGTATGTAGCGGAAAAGTATGTATAATCAGTAGACTTCATATTTTCATGCATCTATAGGAAATTCGACTGTGCGAGCATGCAAGAATCCAAAAAGGTAAAGTTCGTATAATAATGTTTGCACAGTAAATAAATTTCAACTATACAACTTTTTTTTTTATAAATGTAGTGTTCTATTCTATTTCTATGTTCAATGGTACTGCCACCTCACGAAGGATAACGTCGATAACGGCTACCGTAGTTTGAAGAGCGTAGGTAATTTGTCCCAGATTGGCGCGTCGACGCGGCCGCAGGGTTAACTCGCAGGTAATGGACCCGTGAGAGGAAAGACACGTGAAATATATAGACGTGGGGAAGCGTAAGCAGGAAGAGCGTACAGATTACCCGTAGCTGTCGACAGGGGTAGCAGGCGAATCGTTCGACCCCGCAGAGACGCGGAACCTTCCCTCTCCAGGGGTCCTTTTGGCTGCTCTTTAGAGAGGAGACGGCACAAAGCCAACGTAACCGCAATATATACATATAAAAACGAAATCTCGATGTCCCCGGCGCATCTGTGTGACGCGTTATAATGATGATATTACGTACGACGTACGTGTCGGCGAGTTACGGTTGCGACTCACAATGAAAACAACGCCCGGGACCACCCTCGGCGATCTCGCGCGTTCTCACCACCTGCCGCGTGACCGACCACCGATTTATTTATTCCTATTCGACGCCAACGTCGACGATCAACGTTATTAACGAGCGTCGGGATCCACGGAACGGAGGAAACTGCGGACGCGCGAATTTCACTGCGGTTCAGGTTGGAGATCGTTGCTTGGAATAGGGAGACTCGGGGAGTTTCGAACGTTTAAACGGGCTTCGAAATACGCTATCGGTCATTAATTTCGATACACTGCCTCACCTGTAGGTTTATATATTTATATTTGAATAATCCATCTCATTTTCGTCGACTCCGAAGACGACGATACAAGAAGCCAAACCGAATAAAGTAATAGTTGGGTGTCTAGAATCATAGTTAATTTAAAGAGAAAATTTTGAAACTGCCGCGATCTTGATGGTTGTAGGGTAAAAAATAAAACTGAATCGACAGTGAAAGGATCGCTTCATTTTTTTATGATTCGGGCTGCTCTTCTGGTTTCTGTGCCGATGGTCTTCGCTTGCGATTATCGCGAAGCATTTCACTCGATGGCTGGTCGTCTCCGGCAGCTGGTTCACCGTCGGCGGAGCTCAAACTGCATTGAAGAATGCGCGAGATCTTCTTGTTCTTTGCAGTTAGTTTTAGACCGCAACAGTCGCTGGAATCGACCCCCCTCGGACCAGCGAATCTTGGAAAACTACAATTAGACATAAACGCAGTAATCGAATTGAAGTACAATTGTTTACGACGCGATTTAATTGATCAGGTTTCTACCACGTGGAGAACAGAATGCACCAGATGCAGGTTATGCAAGCGCTGTTGCACACGGTGAGACAATCCAGCATTTCGTAAGTTGTTCGAGTCTTTTCATTCCGTTCCTTGTCGTCGCGACGTTTCTGCTAATTCTAAGGATTTAACGTGAATTTCCTACGTCGAGTGCTGTCCGCGAAACGTTGCCAACTTCCGTTGATGGATGCATCATTTCGCGTACGATAGAGCGAGCGATGCTTCGAGGCGATTTTGGAGGAAGAAATGATTAAATTCATTTGAACAAAATATAATCTTCGAATCCAATATTAAACGTTCGATTTAATTTAAGCTTTAGTCTTCGAAGATCTCGGTCGAACTATCTGTTATTGCGTAACAGGATTTTTCATTAAGAAACGAAAAAAAATTAATTCCAAAGGTGAAATTTTACGACAGACGTTAAATTATCTAATTTTCGATATTTTCGAGACAAAATTTTAACTTTGTAGAAATTTTCACGAGTTTCAACCTGGCAGCCGTAGCGTTAACGTCGATTTACAAGAAATCTGAATCAGTTTCTTCGATGTGTCCGAAGGTTTGAAGGTTCGAACGCATGCAAGATTTTAAATGAAGTTCTTGTGCCATGTTGAGTTCCCACGAGATACTTTGGTGTCAAATCCAGTCACGTAGCGATAGGTACTAAATGCTACAGCGGCCAGAACCGTGGGTGTAGCAGGATTCAGGTACTTTTCTACGAACACCCATGGTTTTCGTGTGTCATGGAGGGGACCACTTTGTGTACCCGCTAAGAAGAGAGGAGTCGATGTGTTTCGAAGAAGCGCGCAGTTGGACGTCGCGCGTCACGCTCTGCGCATTGTTTTGACACACCTGTGACTCTTCTCTAAAATTCTGCGCTTCTCTACCATTCTTCAGGCTCTGCTGTCTCGCACTGGTACTGGGTGAGTGAGAAATTTAACATTTCATGAATTGCGGACAGGTTTCAAAAATGAAAACTATCCTAAATATCAGATTGTATAATTGCCAATCATACAGAAACATCGTTTTAGCCGCGTTAGGATTTTCAAGGGTAATAATCTGGCAGTCTATGTGGTAAAAAGAAGTCTGCTTGTATTTTTCTTCTATTAAATAGCGATAATACATTGTACCCCTTGAAACTGACGTTGAAATTGAAACATAAAATTAAAAGATCTCAAAGTTCTACTTGCGTCGGAAACCCAAGATCCATATTTATAGTCCTCTGATTTTTGCAAACTCTGTAGGCTCTGCAAGTCTTGTAATTTCAAAAAGATTTCAAAGTGCTGAAAGTGCAGGACTTTTTTTTCGGGAATTTTTAACATAGAGGAGAAACTTTCTACAAGGTTTACGAAACAATCGAATATGCTAATTCAAAAGGCACCCGTGGTTCCTTCTCCTTCCTTATTGTTTACGTGCATCATGGATTCTTCCGCGCATCGCGATCCCCTTCGACGGTTCGTGCCCTCTCGAATCAATTTCGGTCACGTATGTCGCTCGATCGAGCGCTTTCTACCAAAGTGTAAACGACGAAAGTCGATCGACTTACGAAAATGTTCGCGGTTAGCATTCGGAAACGATACGACGCGCGATCGACATCGAATTCCGGTCACGCGTAATCGTTTCACCTTCGAGATTCGATAGTTTACGTAAAGATCACGCGAGGCGACGGATCTAAGGTCGGAGGAGGCTACCAATTACCGAGAATGCGTTTGCAAAAATTAGTGGAAGCAGATCTTCGACGACTTTACAACAAAATTTGTTAACCTTTCGCGCCACGAATCTTCCGATTTCGGTACATTTAAATTAAAGTCGTTGCTGTGAGGTCGCTAGAACGAACGATACGAGTCCTATTTTTATAGTTTCAAGTGTTCGTTTTACATCGAATAGTGTTAATATTTATGGAGCCAATTTTGATTTCTACGCCTCTCCTTTCCTATTCTTCCCAAAGATACAACAGCTGTGCTTGGTGATGTTCTCTGAAGTAGCCTCAGCTTGAAATACTCTGACCTTAGCAGTCTCGATGAAACTACCGTGATTTGCCTACAATGGCTGATTGCCGAGCCTTCAATCGCAGAAATGATCGTTAAAGAGAAACGTAAACAGAAAAATGATAGGAAGAATCTGTCTCGTTTGTTTCCTGTTTCGTAGTACGGACCCGAACTCTGGTCTTCAATTAGCATGACTATGCCACGGACATAGAGACAAGTAGCTGTAAACGTCAGGTGGGATTAGAAAGCTTACTAACTTAGCCAGATCTTTGCGTAAAGTAATTTACGGTTCATGTCGCGAAACTTGAACATTGACGAGACTCTGTTTGGGCAAAGGTGTTACGTGACGAGTGTCAATACCGAAGGAGTGGTTCCCTCGATAGTCGACAGCATTTCCTGTCAAAGATTGCGTCCACTCGAGATTCCTCTGAAACTGATAATATTCCAAGAAGTTCGAGACTCTTGTCGATGCAACTTTTACATCGTGTAACGACACTTTCAAGGTTTCGAGGCTTTTTCGTTGTACGAAAGAACGCGGTTTATCTTTGCAGCGCACGATGACGCTGTTACCACCGACGGCTGAGCAACAGAAACGCATCGACGAGGAAGTTCCGCCTAATCCTGAGATGAGGAGACGCGACGTCGCGGCGATACGCGAGTGGCTCTCGAAACAGCCTCATCTACCTAATCACATGGGTCACATCTCTAATCTTTTGTACACAAAGAATCGATCGAGTAAAATTAGAATAAACGTTCGGTAACCGATGTTTACAGATGACGCGAGACTCGAGAGGTTCCTGTTTGGATGCAAGAACAGCATCGAGAGATGCAAATTAATTTTGGAACGATACTTCAGCGTGCGTACAGCCATACCAGAATTCTTCTCTCTGCGTGACCCATTCTCACGGGACATTCAAGAATGCTGCGAAGCCATGTAATTAATAGTTCGCCATTTTATTAAACTCTGTCTCTCGAACAGGCGTTAATTTAGTACTACTTTGTACGATTTATTTCCATAGAAATAGAGTATAATCTCAACTACAGTATCAAGTGTTCTATGATGAAGGCTCGATTCTTTACAATTCCTTTCTAGACACTATTTCGTTCTGCCATCCTTGACGGAGGACGGACACCGCGTAACAGTCCTACGCCTGCGAAACACCTCCATAGAGAATTTCTCCATTCAATCGATTTCCAAACGCATCCTTATGGTCCTGGACGCCCGGTTGATGGAGGAACGTTGCCTCTCCAACATCATGGTCATCGATCTCGAGGTATCTCTCTCCCAAAAGTCCCGATTCCTTTTTCTTCGAGCCGCAAGATTAAGCATTGTAAATGAAGTATTGGAAATTAAGCATTAAAAATGATTTCGCGTTCAGGGTTTCAGCGTAGTCCATTTTACGAAGTGCAGCCCAACGCAGAGCGTCGTGAGAAAATCGATGATGACGGTGCAGGACAGCATGCCCCTGCGACTGCACAGAGTCCATTTTCTTCACGCGCCGGCGTTCATCGAGAGCATCCTGAATATATTCTATCCCCTTCTTAAAGACAAACTCGTCGAAAAGGTGAGGAAATACAACGAATGAAATCGAATAGATGAGCGTTAATTGTGTTTTATACCGTATTTAATATTTTTTTTGTAGTTTCGTGTGCACACTGGTGGCGGAGAGGAGTTATATTCCTATATGGACAAGGATATGCTTCCGAAGGAATGGGGAGGCAAAGCGGGCAGCTTCGACGAGTTGAATGGTTCGTTAGATCTAAAATTTAAATACGTAATTGTCTGAGAGAAATCTGTAATCTGACTGACAGTGACCTCTGCGGTCGTGCAGTGCTTACCGTAACTTTCGATCGATTCGAAACCGTCGGTAATAGTAACGTAGACAATTTCTATTATTGTATCGTTATATACGATTCTATATTATTATTTTGTCGATGAATATTATTTTCAGACGCGTGGAAGAAGAAGATCGAAAAGAACAGAGACTGGTACCTACGAGAAGAGAAACTCAGTCGAACGGACGAAAGCGCTAGACTACCGGAATCTAAATCCAGACTGCTGGTGGAATTAGAAGGAATGCAGGGCTCCTTTAGAAAACTCAACATCGATTAGTAGATTCGTCTACGTAACGAATTTCCTTTTTTGTTTTTCTTTTATCTAATAGCGTATCGAATAAGCGCGCGCCTTTACCGTTTCCGTATCGTTTCCGATGTTATCGATTCAGGCTAGAGTAGACTATCAACGCTACCAGCGGTGAGAATTGAAACTAAGTATGTTTAAACTTCCGATTTTTCGCGGGAACCGGCTACGCTTCGTTACTTTCCCTCTTTATACGTCGAAAGATAAACGTACTTCTAAGAATATAAAGAAAAGTAATAAAAAAATAAATAAAAATAATAATTCAACATCCCGATTTAGTCTATCAAGCTATCTACCTTGTTATACTTTTGTCAAACAAAAGTTCGCGATGCAATTTTCTAGAGCGCCAAGACGGTTCGATACGATTTCCATCGAAGATGAAATTTATTTGGTATCGATGTCACGTATCAGAAGACAAAACGTAATCAGAGAATCAAATCAAGACCGACATCAGCTCACCAAGTCGTGCATCAAGTTGTCGCGTTGACTTCCGCTAATCAGCCTATACAGGAGCTAATCTGTTGCCCGACAATTGCACCGACAACCTCCAGACACTTAAGAACGCCTCGTTTGTCTTCTTTCGTGTTCGTTTAACGGACTTGATAAGCTAATGGAGGTCCAGACAAGGAACAACAGCGTGGCAGGAATTCCTTTCGACGCGACGAACACAATCTTAAGATCACAACATGCTTTGTCCTCTAACGTGGCGTGTCGCTCGCCCCTGCCGACAGATTACACATTGACTGCTATGCCATCCATAGATCGGTGACAACACTTTCCCGTTTTCCGAGTAGACGGTAATTCGATTCAATTTCGACAACGAACGTGCATCGCCGTGCACCAGTTGGAAACTCGAATCGTTTCGGTGTATGATGTATTGAATGAAATTTGTTCCTAGGATTAAGTTGTTGCTTCTAACGAAACCCGATGGTGCGCCTCGTGGAAACTAATTGGAAGTTGCGAGGAACAGGTAAATGGGATGGAACGCAGGCGAACTGACTGGAGTTCTTCGAATAGATTCAATTCGAGGCATATTTACGTATCCATGAAATCCTTTCAAGCATCCATGAATCCTTCCGCATTTAAACTTTGAAATGGAAAAGCAAAAATAACGAGAGTTAAACAAACGTCGTGATCGATAATTGAAAAAATAGAAACGCCCTGGCAGAGGCTCGCAACGCGATCGTTACGCAATCCCTTCGAACAGTAGTGTTTAATCAATTAATTAATTGCCTGCTCTGGCTCGTTAAGAACGCACACGCCCGTGTAATTGGCATAATGCTTATGCAATACGAGGCCCCTGTCTCGCGGTCGTTTAATTCACTTGGTAGGAAACACGCGACGTCGATCATATGTTTACATACGCGTCAATGGATTTCGAGTTTCAGAGCTGCCAGACCGAATTCAAAAAACCTGGTCGAAATTAAGATAACGTTAATAAAATTATTATATGAATATACATATAAAATAATAAATGTTATATATATATATATATATATAAATGATAAAATTATATATCCCTTATTTACCCGTATATTTAAATGTATCTAAATTAATAAAAATAAAGTTTTCAATTGAGAGTAACGAATTGTTACATCGAATGCCCAAAAAAATCACCTTGTTACTATTCAATTTCGTAACTGGCGTCTTCTGAACCCCATAAATACGAAACGTTGGATGAATTAAGAGGGGCTTGGGTATTTTGACCACGTTTTAGGGATTTGGAGCCACGGTGCAGCGTCTCTGTCCTGCCGCACTGTACAGTGCGACGACGGGGTGGATTGATTTTTCGCCTCCTGACGTCACAGCGAGGCTAACATGCGCACGGAGCGTCGCGGCGCGTTTCGACGCATTTTATTTCCCGGTCTCGACTTTTATTTTGCGTAGCAGCATACAATGTTCCTTTGTCGAAGTCCTATAATTACTGTAGCGAAGGAATTGGACTCCCTTTGTAAGACACTCATCCCTGACTGAAACTCGTGACGCATTTCGTCCGTAGACATTGCATGGACAGGGATCACTGTAGAAGATTCGAGTACGTCCACTCTTAAGAAAAAAAGAGCAACTTCCGGTCCGCGTACGTCCTTGGTGCTTGACCGAGTTAGGGGTAGCCTGCCTTAAGGGTAGATTAGGCTGCTCTGAAAGGAAAGGAAAGAGTGGGTGATTAATCATCGCTAGGTTGACGATTGCAGTGGAGCAAGTAACAAAAACGAGTCAGATGCGAATTTATATACACATTTTTGCATGTATATCTACGTAGTTGAACAAATGGTCCTCGATCAACTCTCAAGTCTACCATACCAGTGGTCAATAGCAATCACGATCGTCAAGGAAGCAATAAAAGAACTCGACGAACTCTGCAGTCACTCTCATCGCTACAGAGACGAAGATTAATACGTTTCCTGCTTTTAAAGAAGACTCGTTACGAATGGGAACCAAGCAGAATATACCATTCTGGACAAATTTGTAGGTCTCTACATTTCCCAGATTCTGCAGACCCGAACTTCAAAGTCAACCTACGGCGAGTTCTAAATTTGCGAATAAATAATCCAACGAATTTGAGCGACTCAAGTTTCAAAGTTTCAACTTAGCTTGCCTTTGAAGTGGAGAGATGAGAAGGAAAAGAACTGAGAAAGAACGGACTCGTGTCACAGTTGACGATCGTCGAATCTCGCGAGTAAAAAGTAGGTACTGCGGATGGTAGGGGGTGGCGAGTGGGCGGGCAGACGGGTGGTTGTGGCTCTGGAGCGAAGCAGGACGTTGGGGTCAGAGACGAGTTCATTCAGTGTCGCGCGGTTGGTCGCCAGCGCATAGTTCTTTCTCGCTCGAACGGTTCCCCTCCTCATCGTCGTTCTCGTTCGACGATTTCGCCCAATTGATTCTCTCTTCCTGCGGCTGGGTTCTCAGCGATCGCGAGTTGCTCGTCGACGATCGGCCAGGCAGCGTCCCAACGTCCCCTTGGTCGTCTACCTTGCACACGTGCGCCGCGACGGCGACGGGACGCGTTCCTAGGCAGCTTAGCGTGGTCTGGTTTCGCGAGGCAACGCTTTCGATCGACGGTACACGAAAGACTGGGTCGCTTGATGGCCTGCCGCGCAGTTCTCGCGTTCGTTTAAACGTCTCAGTCGATCTTGGCTGCTGAACACCTGGAGACGTACTGATCACGCGCGTTCAAAGTCCTCTGAGACGACACGAGACGTCCTTGGTCGGTGTATCGGTGGTCCGATACTCGAGGAATGCCTCGTAGACGCGGGTGAACGAACAGAAGGAAGCGGAAAAAGGGGGACTTGGATGAGAAGATTCGACTCGAAACGTCGCGCGCGTACAGAGTCTTCGGACGTGGTCTAACGATCCAGAAAGCTTCTGCAGCGCTAGGCTCCTCGAACAGGAGGACCCTCGAGAAGTGTACTAGCTGCCGACTCGAACCTTGCGTCCAAAGTTCTCCAGTGCAGTCTCCGCAGCCTCGAAAAGGATAGGCTCCAGAAAAGGTGAGTTGCACGAAGAAAGAGGCTCGCCTCGAAAAGATAAGACCGCGGACTGTCGACCGTCGAGCGACGTGGGCCGATCTAAATCCACGAGGGCAAGCCCCGGTACCCCGTGGTGGCATGTCCCTCCCCACTTCTTCGATTCGCCAGGACGTCAGCTGGAACTTGCGTGGTGCGTCTTGGGTGTGCAGCGTGCCGCTGCAGCTTCTAGTCCATTGTCGCGATCCGAGGGACGAGAGGTGAAGAGCTTACGGTGATAGCAATCGACGAATCGGACTAGCGATACCGAACGCTGCCAGTTTCCGTTCTATTCGCGATCTGAATTCTGCTCGTCCCTTCTGGCGCGTGAACGTCCGATCGGTGCGTGCCGATAAACGTGATACGTTTCGTGCGTCGAGTGGACTCGTCGCTAGGTCTCCAGCTCGCAGTATTCCTCGCGGATGCGCTCGATCGTCGCGTGGCTTGTCAGCTGGATTCGGAGCTGTCGCGTGTGTTCTCGAGGGTGATCCTCTCCTGATCTCCCGAGGGTGTCGTTTCGTGGAACGTTCGTGTCCTGTGCAGAGTTTCACCCGAGCGATCCTGAGCGCAGTTTAGAAACCAGCGCAGCGGATCGAGGGATACGCTTCGATATCCATTGGTGAGTGACGAAATATCGACGGACGTTTATTTCTAGCAGGGTCTTGGTTCTCGAGATAAATACATGGTAATATGTAATTATGATTAACGAATAATCTGAGACGGTTAACCTTTTGCACTCGAGTGGCGACTCTTCGGCGCTACTTGATTTCACCCGGCGACTCGAGTGTCGACCGAGTGCCTTTACTTATGTTTCAGTTTATTAATAATTATATCGGGCCGTGGACAACTTTCTGAACTTTGTGCGCGTTTCTTTTGGAAAGTATTCGAGTTTGGCAACGTGTCCAGAGTTGTTTATAAAATCATCGTTGATTCGAAAATCTAGAAGCCCTATGAAGGGAAATCTAATTCTGTGCTGCTACGAATCGAAGTCGATTAGATATTAGGTAAATTAAAATTCCCTTCAACAACAAAAAAGAAACCGATATTGAACAACACGTAATTTTATCCCCACGTGTCCTGAACATGGGATATACAGTGATAGCCATCGAACCAATAAAATATCGATACCCCCAATCAGCCTACTAGAGTACTAAACAATGACATACATCAATTTCCGTCCATTGCAATCATCGATGAAACACAATCCGTAGATCATCTACAAAGATATGTACACACATACGTCTACCCGAATTAATTTCTGTAGACTCGACTCTTCGAGGCGAATAGAGTGACGACAATGTAAACAGAACCCAGATAAATACCAGTATAGCAGGCATGCATCAAGAAGGAATCAAAGTATTAGGTCATTTCGCGATCCTCTGCGTAATTAACTACGCAAACTTTTGCCTCTGTAAACATATGCAAGCACAGATATATTCAAATCGGCAATGGACGAGTGTTTTAAGCTGAACCGACTGGAGTCTTATGAATGGAGCATCGAGAAATTCAGAGGAAAAGTCACACAAGATCGCCATTCAGGACGAGAAATGTTGGCTCACGGCCTAGAGGTTCAATTTTTTGTTCAGCTTGCTATACAACGGACTACAACGCTATTACCGAAATTGCCTGGTACCCATGGTCACGCATCCACGTGCCATAAACCTTACGAAATTATTAAAATACCTTTCACGATCCCCTAGCACGAAAAACTACCCTCGAACTCGTGGATGGATACTTATTTCGTTAACCCATACTTTTGTATTTTTAATTATTCATTGGATCAACCTGCACCGTTCGTCGAGACGACGTCATTGGTCGAGGATAGCTGGATCACCGATCGTTTAGGCGATTTCTATTCGAACGCAATTGCTCCGTGGTCGGTCCGTTTCGCGACGAAGAGCACCGTCCTCGCGAAAACGTCACGCAGCGTCAACTGCTCGTGGTCGTCGATCGTTGTCTCGTTCCCTCGGCCATATCTCCTCGTCTAGTCCCCGTGGCAACTTATGTAAGCCAGCGTCCCTGATACAACGCGAAGTCTCGTTGGACGTGAATTCTTCCTCGAGCTCGTTTCTCCACTTTTGTCTCTCCATCTGATAGGGACAACAAGCGTAACGATTTATCGTCGAATCAGTTATACAACTGCCACAGCTGGATGAAGAAATACGACAGTAGATGATTATTATTGGACGAGGATATTGGAAGAGTATAGGAATACAGACGTACTTGACATAATACAGACGTACAGACATAATTGAAAGAGAAACAAGACGAAGTATTCATTGCACGATAAAACATAGCTCTGTAACTCGTGTGCAGTCTCATCGGTCGTGAAATCATTGGTTTCGTCTTTCAATGCAGGAGTCAACGGAGCGAATCTCTATTAGATCCGCACGTGCTGCGTCAACAGCTGATCCCCGACGGTTCACTCGATTGATCGACCGATTAACCCTGTACACGTACGTGCGCTACATCGTGGTACACGGATATTACTTTCATAACAGAAGCTATCAATTAATTGAACAAATCAGCGACATATCATAAGAATACACTCGTAATAATTACACTAAAATCCATTGATCGTGGAGTGTGATCTCACGAGGACTGGTCAAAGCGATACGTGGCCTTCCAACTTGAAAAGTTTCCTCGTCTCTCTGCCCCGTATACAATCTCTGTCCAAGAAGGAATCAGTGATCCTAGTTACAGCAGTAGATCCTAGCGGTGGCTTAACGCGCGAGGTTCTCGTTTTACGAGGCGTAGTCGTGAGATTTCGCGATTAAGCCGTTGAAAGAGGCCGCGCAATAGGAACACTGTTTACTTAATTAATGCCGCCGACGCGAGCGGCTCGTTGACCCCGCGATTCCTGGACTTGGATCGCCCTTCGACGGAATTGATTTAGTAGTCTGGCAGGGGCCAGTCTCTCCCAAGCGCGCCGCGACGCCATTCCTTTTCTTTGTTTGGTCTGTATAGTTCTGTTTTTTCGCTGACCTCTCAATTACTTTGTTCTGCAATGCGTCAGCACACGCAGCACGCTTCTGCACGTACGCTCGCTCCAAGGCTCGTCTTCTTTTTTTTTTCTTCACGGCTGACTCATCGAAACCACGAATTTCAAAACAACTTCACTTGACGCTTGATCAATTATTTGCACAAATTGTTCTCAGTCGTCTTCTTGATTGCTTAGTCCACGCTTTTGAGCCTTAAAAAAAAATAGAAAATCAGAGAAAGCGTTGGTTTAGTCAAACTAAATGCAAATTAAATGCATATTTATCCAAGTATATCGAGTCACGTGCTACGTCCAAGTGTTTCAAGTTTGAAGAACACTGACCTGAGAACTTTAACGTCGAGTCGACCAAAGGACGCAGAGGTCTAGGGTTCACCCCAGCGTGTTATGTATAGTCACGATAAATGGCTAGCGGATCCAGCGTTTACCAAAGCATGCTGAATCGCCTATTTCTAGGTCATGCTCGCCATCGGTACTGCACGTTTAACGATCGCGCTATAAGTTCAAGTGCACCGGCATCGAACGCGGCCCTCTTTTTTTTTCCCTGAATCGTTGATCGTTTGCTGGCAGTAACGCAACGTGACACCGTCAGACTTGCACCACGTAACAACAGAGCATTAGACGATCGATAGGACCTTGCTAGGAGTTGACAACTTCCGGACAATTGCGGTAGAAACTCGTCTAATTATCGATGTACAGAGTGGCCAGCTGGAAGTGGGAACATCTTGGCGTCTTTGCTGATCTAAACGAATCAACGAAGCATTGCCAATGAAACCTTCTGTATTTCGAATCGTGCGTTATAATTGATTTTTAAAACAAGGAATTAATCTTGATTGCAAAGTTATCTAAGCGTTCTGTTTCTAATGGACCACCCTGTATACAAAGAGTAATCGCGGGCACGGCTCCGTGACCACATTACGTATTGATTTTAGAAACTTCCCAAACACGATTTTTTCACCAGCGCAGAAAAAAACGTTTCTTAAACAGTTCTTGAAACGCAAGGCTGAATCGGCATGCAATGGCTGCGTCAAATTGCTTCCTTCCACCTGGAAATTGTCGCGTCGAGTGCTTTTTTTCTCGTTTGGCACAATTTCCACGTTGGCCTTTTTTTTTTTATCTAACTGCGTCTAATTCGCTTAATAGTTCTTCGAGTAGAAAAAGAAACCGCCACTCGAGTTTCGTGGTAGGTAAAATAACGAGGTCAACGATAGGGTAAAGGAACAGTTGAACTTTGCCTTGAACAGGTTCTTCGTACGTTCATGAGCTTAGGAGACATTTAGGCGTTTCCGTTATAAATGGTTTACCCTGTCTATAATGACATAATGATACGTCGAAGATAGAGTAATGCGTCTAATGGTAGCCTAGAGACAGGCTGTAATGATAGAGCAGAGGTAGACAAGTGTGTGTAAGGAGGTGGATACATAGAAACGTGGAATTACAGAAGTGTAAGGGTATAAATGAACACAGGTATACACAAGTAAACAGGTAGAATTATAGAGCAAAGACGCTGACAATTTCATTAAAAGACCCGAAGCATTTTTGAAGGTGAGGTATAGTGAAATCTATCGTCTTGACATAAACAGTATAACTTTTAATCGAACATGATCTCGAGTAACGCTCAAACATAGAGCATCGACTGAAAGATTCTTATTTAAGTTTCCACCATCTCGTTGACCGCTTGTTCGATCGATTTTGTGGACGTAGAGCACCGCTGATTGATAGGCGGATGCTTGCCGTTGGAATGGATTCATTCACAGACCATTTCCTAGAAGCTAGCCCTGCATCGAGCAACCGGGGCTTCGATTTTCACGTCTACCAGTCACTGTTCTGCATAGACGTATAGACGTTGTCACCTAGCACCAGCTATCGACGCGTCCGTTTGAAATACAGCTTTACAGTATTCACAGAAATGTGATAACGTCCACGGTGTCACGCGACTGCTCGACCTTTCGGCCTCTTATTTACCTCTACCGATGATTATTAAAACACTGGATGCAATCATCGTGCAGATGGTGGAGGTTCGACAAAGATCCTGATCTGGCAGGAGATTCAGGACATGAAAGCATCTGCTCAAAGGTACCCACGTTACGCCTATCTTCTCTCACGTTTACAGTCCAACTCTCAGGATCAAGTACAACATAGAGAACACATTTTAATATTGCAATTTCATCCTTGATAAGACCCCTCTGCATTAAGGAAACTGGAAATGCTCCTTATAATTGCCTGGAGAGAAACAATTCTTACATGAATAGAAGTCGTTTGGTGGAAGGATCGAAACAATTCTAAAGTATTTATAACCCGATATACCGCTCGTCCACCGCAGTCGAACGTCACTGTTCTCGTGTTCGACATTCAGATCAAGCCATGTATATTTAACAAATGTCGCAAATCGCTGCGGAAATACCCGACATTCGTACCGGATATAAATAAGCGCCGCCAAGAATTCAGCGAGAGTCGGTGCAAACCGGTCCAAAACGAAGATTCGTGATTCTGTGGATTTATTTAAGGATTTTAAAAAAATTAAATAATTTAAATCAAAACGTAATTTAGGAACTTGCCGAAGGTTTGATATGTTATAAAAGCCCATATTATAAACGAATAAAAAAAAAACGTAACATTAATTGACCGCGACGTTACCGAGATCTTAAAAGCGGAATCTTGAAAGCGTGTAACTGAACGGAAGGTGAATTCACGCGGTTTGTACCAATCGAAGATAGACCAAAGCTCTGTCCACACGTTCTTTCAGGGTTAAGGTGATATCGGGGTTGAGGTTGGAGTTGCGAAGGTTCGATACTAAATATAGAGAAGGCGCTTACGGGGTCAAATCAATAGGCATTCTGCGTATATGTATATGCACGGTGCCTGAACGTCTGAACGTTGCACGGAAGCTTAAAATACCTACGCCTACGTGACCACCGTGGAAGATCTCCGCGTTTACATGTACTACGACGATTATCAACGCTTCGCTATCGGCGTTTGTCGATTGGGTGCGCCGATCGCGATACCACGAGGCCAGTTTAAGCTGTTCGTTCTTCGCGCGCAATACTGCCCCTGATTAACCCTCCAATGAGTATTCCTTTCGCGCCAGGTCGTCGAAATCCGTTATAATTCCTTGACACGGAATATCCACGCTTCTCTTTCGCTCGTAACAGATAAGCTTCATTGTCAGTGTGACACATATCTACTAGTTCTTCTTACTAAACATCCATTTCTTGATCAAAGTCGACCACGTTTCCATTCGTCCAGAGTGCATTCCGAGGGTTGGCACTCTACAACACCACTATTGCGTACAAGTAGCGTTGAACTTCTACATCCTCCTCACCTACAATGAAAATTCATAAATATCTTCGTCGGTATGCTTTGCACTGAAAGTGTCAAAAGCGATAAAACCATTGTCCAGCCTCAACGGAGCGCCGCAGAGGGTTAACAGTACTCCCTGCACCGTAGTCGAGTAGAAATCCAAGATTCGTTCGCAGTATGAAATATAGTACCAGACTGCGGATCTTTATGCAAAATAAAATCTTTGCAAACGTACCTACAAAAATTGAACCCAAACAGAAACTCATTTTACTCTGCCAATGTTATAATATGAATTTTCTTTCAATATATTTTTGTTTATATTATTGTATACTGTGTGCATTTCGTAGTTTCTCGCACGTTCAAATATCCTGTAAACGCATAAAAATCCGCAGTCTATAGATTAGATAGTTTCCCGGCAGTCGCTCACGCGAGGCGTGCCTTGTCCCGTGAGTTTTCCCAACTGGTCACGATAATCCGCAATGATTAAGTCGTTTCTCGAATTCCGTCAAGGGCATCGCGTGCATGCACCGACTGAACCGACGTGTCCTGCGATTTCGGTCAGTTCCAGCCAATCGTAGACCGTGCCGATAGCGAGATCCAGGTCTAATCCTCGGTCGGGATCGGATGTGGTGGACGTGTTCAGCTGGAAGTACGACAGCGGTTGCACCGACGGCGGAGGTAGCTGCGTGTTCGAACGACCTGGCACGCGGCAGGGCGCATTGGATGAACAGGGGAGATTGTCGGTGATGGACAATGAGCAGCCGCATCAGGAACTGGTCAAGTGCGTGGTCGTGGGCGACACAGCAGTCGGAAAGACCAGACTGATTTGCGCAAGGGCTTGCAACAAACACGTATCGCTCTCGCAACTTCTCACCACCCACGTGCCCACGGTCTGGGCCATCGACCAGTACAGGATCTACAAAGACGTGAGTTATCCTTCAGTCTTACCTGATACTTTTTCTATGCTTCATCCTCTTTTCATTAACTCCTAGTGAGATTCACCCTCCTTTCCTTAACTCTTTGTGTCTTCGACCCTCTTTCCCGCTACCCCCGGCATCCCTGATCAACAACAGATTCCTGAACAGAGTGTATGTCAGTAAAAACTACACGTCAGGTTCTAGAGCGATCTTGGGAGGTAGTGGACAACGTGAACGTTTCCCTGCGTCTCTGGGACACGTTTGGCGACCACGAGAAGGACCGTCGTTTCGCCTACGGCAGGTAACTGCTCGATCAGGAGCTTCTACGATGAATCTTGTAACGTTGAACGTTGTTACAGGTCGGACGTGGTGCTGCTATGTTTCTCGATAACCAATCCCGTCTCGTTGCGGAACTGCAAGGCGATGTGGTACCCGGAGATACGAAGATTCTGTCCTCAAACTCCGGTCCTGTTGGTGGGATGTAAAAACGACTTGCGCTACATGTATCGGGATGAGACCTATCTCAGCTACTTCCGCGACCGTAGTCCCTTTGTAAGGTACGTTATCGTTATTTAAACAAATTACATACATTTAGAATTTTAGTTGATTTTTGTCCTATGTGGAATTCGTTTGAATGCATCGATGCCATTTTAGCGATGGCCCCCTTGGCGAAGTGCGTCAAAGTATTGATTTCGCGGTCTCCGCAGGCCTTCCCGATCGGTCGACACTTTTCCGACTCTTATCAGATGGAAGAGCCAAGAATCCCTATTCTTTTTTCTCCGAGATACCGCGCTCCTCATCGATGCACATCCTACGATGAAGAAATACTCGTCCCCTAGTGTTTCGAGCTTACGTAACGGAGTATTCCATTTAGCAATAGGATCAAGCGAACCTTGGCATATGAAGGAAGGCTCCCGCGGGATCCTCAAAGTTCATCGTGACTTTCAGAGACTCTTTCGCGAGCGTTCTAGTTACCCTTGATGCATGGCGCGTTTCGTCGATACGAACGAATGCCACTAGCCTTGCCGCGATTGCAGGGCGACAAGGAAGAGCGACCTGGTGATGCCCGATCAGGCACGGGCCGTTGCGAGGGAGCTCGGTGTATGCTACTACGAGACCAGCGTCTTCACCTATTACGGCGTGAACGAGGTCTTCGAGAACTCGATACGCGCCGCCCTCATTGCACGGAGGCAGCAAAGATTCTGGATGACGAACCTCAAGAGAGTGCAGAGGCCTCTGCTGCAGGTATAAGCGACAGTCAGCTCAGACTCGATTATCTATCCACTTGGAAGTTCTCTTCGAGACGAGAACCTTAAAACATCCTGCTTGATCTAAGTCCTCGTTTCGCGGGTTCTACGATAGATGACTATCCTTGCAGGCACCTTTCTGTCCACCGAAGCCAGTCCCGCCAGAGGTATGTCTCGCGACGAGCACTTACGAAGAGAACATGAAGACGTTGTGGATGAAGCCCGTTCACACCGACGTGACTCTGATAGCTGGGAACTGTACGTTCTCGACTCATCGGTGTCTGTTGGCTGCCGCATCGCCGGCGTTCCATCGACTCTTCACGATGGAACTCATTCAGGAACAGACGCCCAGAAGTTCCAGCGAGTCTAGCATGGTATCGACTCCAGGCTAATACTCTTAACAATTTCTCCGTTGTTGTTCCCCTGTTATTTGTGCCTTTTTTCAAGGTGAGCACGTTTGGAGAAGCGACGGTGGGCGACTTCAACGACGACACCGAGTGCCTGATTCGTATCGATCAATCAAAACCCGCAAAGTGAGTTTATCCCGCAAATCTGTATTAACGCAAAGCCTTGAAACCCCAACGCTAACGCGCTCCAGCTCTTAGCATTCGCGTTAACGTTGCGAAACGTTGTCGTAGAGTTTGGGAACAACTTAAGCGGCGTTCGAGCTTCCAAGTCCTCCCCACGATGGATAATCAAAGAAAATCAGCCGGTGCGACGAGGGAGCTCAATCATCCTGCCTTCCAGAACATTCGCGTATGTCTGGTGAGGATGTTTTTGCTGTAAAAAAAAAAAAAAAAAGATACATAAGATACAAAGAATTTTGATTTTGACATTCTATCCGTCTATCTTTTATCTTTTACAGACTGAGAGCACAAACGGTGTCCAGCAGCCAACGACGGTGGTGACGTTGTCGAAGCTGATCACACCGCAGGCGATGCAGCAGTGCTTACAATTCATTTACACGGGCAGCTTGGATAAACGGTACCACGATCTGCAAGTACGTTGGGTCGATAGAATTATCTACAGGGCCAAGCACACCCTACACTCATTCTTGTTTCATAGAGGTCTTGTCTCGGTACAGTCACCGAAGAACGTGAAAGGAGATTTAATCAGCCGAATCTGTACAGTAAACGTTTGTTTCTTTTTCTTTCTGTCGCGAGAATGTACAAAGTGTCCATTCCCTTTCTAAGACAAGTCTCAATTCATTGCTTGAGTAATGAGTATAAGCACGGTGCTATCAGTGCGTTACACGGCAATTAACGCGGCTGTATTCTTTCAGACAGCTCCTATTGGGCTTCTACTGGTTAGTACAATGTGAAATACGTTTGCTGACACCAGCACACACACATGCACGCACATATTAGTGGCATATAGTCGCGAAAAGCGTTCACGAGAGACGTGAAATTTCATTTAGTAAAATTGTACGAAACGTTTGCAGTTTTCATGGGTGCATGGAATCGCTACCTTATCATTCGATGGTTTAAAATCGTCGTCGACGCGGAGTAGGTGACCCGACTTCAGAAAAGACATATCCCATATCGATCATCGCATTTTCATAACGCGTTACAACAGTACACAAAATGACTGTACCCCTTCCTCGCAGGAGATCAGGCAAGCAGCCGAGTTCTTGGAGCTCTTGCAGCTGCTGATGGTGCTTGGCAGTCTACAGACGAGAGACCAGTTCAGCAACGATCTCAACAATCGTTACAAGCAAGTGGTGAGGCAACGACTGGAAGACATTTGCCTGGAGCAAGGTAGACTGTCGATCATCCTACGAGTAATGTAGTTTTATGCTTAATTTTAATCATAAACGTCATATTTAGGTCTGTTTGCCGACGTGGTGTTCGATCTGGACGATGGAAGCGTTCCAGCCCACAAAGCGATTCTCACTGCCCGATGTGACGTGATGAAAGCCATGTTCTCTGGCGATTTCCGTGAAAGTAGCGCTAAAGTGGTAAGTTGCAAGCATTCGTTCTTTCTTGTTCCCATAGGACACATCTGATTTGTGGCCCACATATTGAAATGATATTTCGTTAACAGATAGTGTTTCCTGGTGTACGCGAGTACACGTTCCACAAATTGCTCTGCTACCTCTACACCGACGAGGTCCCAGCAATCTCCTCTGCCAGGTGCTTGAACCTCTTGGAACTGGCGAACCGTCTCTGTCTGCAGCGACTGGTGAACCTGGTAGAGAGCAGGGTGATCGAGGACCTCGAGAGACTGTCCCAAAACGAGGGAAACGAGGCTGTAGAGAACTGCCTGAGGCTGCTGGAACCGTGCAAGGTCAGTTCTTCCTTTGATCCATAAATAAATAATCGATACCAACCGATCGACGACTTTCAATTCCTCTAAATTCATTCAACGTCTTGTGTGTGTGTGGCAGTTGCACAATGCCGACCAACTCGCAGACTGGTGCATGAACCACTTGTGCGTCAACTACAACAAGCTGTGCAAGATGTCTCCTCGAAGTGTACGACTCCTTCATCCAGAGAACCAGGAGTACTTGAACGAGCATCGGTGGCCTCCAGTGTGGTACGCATAAAAATGATCTACGCACACGTTCTTAATACTCGAGAAATGATTGTTACTCTAGCTTAAGTTCGATGCAGTTGGAGATGTGGTCCCGAGCGACCAATTAAGCATGAGTCCCAGGATTAAGTGCTGAAACGCTTCCTGTTCAACAGGTACCTAAAGGACTACGATTACTACCAGAAGTGTCTCGCGGAACGTGACCGCGAGAACAAGCCCACACTGAAGAGGAATCGCAATCAGTCCGGATGTTTGTGCTTCTCCAGCTCCAGCAAAACGAGAAGGGAGAGTTCAGCCAATGGCGGTACAGCGTCATCGGCGTCAAACGACGCACAAGTCGAACGACCCCTGTTCGACGCGTCGATAGAATCGGGTGAACAGGTCGTATGACAAGAGCCAAGCGGCTTAAGCCGCTCCGTCAGATTCATTCTGATCCTCCCCGTGCTCATGGTCTTCATATGCACCATTTTTACTATTTTGATACTGCTACAGATTTATACTTAAGGAACGTTAAACGCCGACAAGATGATCCATGCACACGAATAACCGATAAGTGTACGAGAACTCCTGTACAGGCCGCGTGTTCTTCACGAATTCTTCTCGCAAGCGACGAGACGTATCTCTATCCAGCGTACGCGTTTCCTTTCTTCTCGGAAGAAGTCCAATCATTTCAGGTGTAGGTTTTCTAAGAGCAAGCGACACGAACTGTTCCGTGAAATTGGTATATTTTTTCTACGTGAAAATCTTCGCCAGGAATACGCGTCGATCCGACTTTGCGCCGTCGTCAGACGATCCGGTTAGAAAAACGCTCGCTGTATCTTTTTGAAGGGACTTCTCGCAGACGTCCATCGTTTCTAACCAAAACAAGTTGGTGCCTTTTGTTGACGATACGTCTTTACCATTAAAGCGACCTCGAGCTGCAACGCTGGTCAGCTGAAAAAAAAATTTTTGTCTTTGTGGTCACGCGCGATGCAAATTGAATTTTAATGAAAAAAAAACGAGCTACGATGCAAATGGACGAACATCTTGCATACAACTGTCCGTCAACGAGCACGGCACGTTCCTCGATAAAGGGCGTGAGCTACTACGATCACGCGAGCAGTGATTTTTATATGTTACTTGGAGAGATCGAGAGATCCTTCGGGCATCCCCCACGCTTTGGTACCTATCGTTACTATCACTTCCCCCTGGCCAGGTGAAAATTGGTTTACCCGAAAAGCTTGTTTGTACGATCATTTAAATAGAAACGAGGAAAGGGGGAACGATGAAAGCGAAATTGGATTCGGGACGTGTCACTGAAACAAAAAGAATTCCCATCGGACTATAAAAATCGTACTTTTATCGATGCGTGTTAGACTGAAGAAAACGAGCAATAGCCATAGCCCACGGTAGTGCATAAAGAATACTATAAATAAACGGTTCATGTAGTCGTGTAAGGAATAAATATACGTCGTACGTGTAAATACTACGCGAGCCGTACTATTACGATAAAAACTCGACGCGGATTTTTACATCGTTTGCACAGCATCCGACGACGGGCCCTGCTTTATCTACTGAGTTTTCTCTTCCACGAGCGAGGTTACAGTTCCTTCGAAGTTGCAACGAGACTTTCTCGTATTTCTACAATTTTGTAACGATCTACGCGTTATTACTATCGTCAATCGTCGATTACTTTTAAGCGGAGAGGGGACACGTGCAGTTCACACCGATCCACGGGGCTGGTGGATTGTCCAAAGAACAACTGCAACATATCGATCACGGTAATGGGTTACTGCTAGAATTACTAATCACAACTGCGTCGTAAGAATAATTATTATCTAGTTTAACGAAAGCGAGGAAGAGCGTGAGCGAGCGTGAGCGAATCGATTATGTTTGTAACGAGTATTATCACGTGTATCTAACGTTCGTAGGGTATAGAGCGACGCTTTATATCAAAGTGAATTCTCGCGTACCTTGTTACACATTTTTCTGGCGACTTGTACTTTGTAAGTGCACAAGTTGATTCTCGTGTGCGTTCGAAGAAGCGTAACCTCGCTTCGTGATCGCATTTACGAAGTCTTCGGGCGAAAATGAAACGACTCGTAACTCGTAACGTGTCGGTATTAAAGGTGTTTAATAATTTCATACTCGTTAGTTCATCCCATCGCCGCATCGATCGGTCGGTACATTCATTTATGCGAAGTGTGCCTGAGAAAAGAAAAAAAAAATGGATATAAACACGCGGAGAACAACACGTAAAATAACACACGCACGAGTGTGCTAGCATACATACGTAATTTTAACCTTATATTCTCGTATACGACACATCACGTTCGCGCGTGTAGCGATGGAATTTTCTCATTACGAAAATTCGATTTATTCCAAGAGTAAGACAGACTTACAAAAGTAATACTATACAGGGTGAAATGATCGTACGTAGAGCACACAATCGGATCGAGTATCTTAAAATGACTTGAAACATTGGAATCTCTCTTCGAAATTCTTTCATTGCACGTACACGTTCGAAACGATTCGAATCGTTTCGAGGCCATCGCTACATTCGAGCGTCGGACAAGCCGAATATCGAAAGAAATATAAACATATATTAAGATACGCTACTGCCCGATGATCTGTAGTAAATTTTGTAACGGAAACGACGTACGCAGAATGTCTGTTCCGGCGTGTGAACCTGAGAACATAGAGTACTCTTAGAGGCGAAACTTCAACGTTCCTGGTAAAAATTGTTTTTAAACACTCTTTGATTGTTAAGAATACCACTGCGAAGGACTGAACAATTGCTAATTTTTGTGTAATTTTTTTCTTTTAATTAATTATCTTTTGATTAATTTTTTTTTTTTTTAATTAGGAATTAAATTCAACGCATTTCGTGTCCCAATGAAAGGTTCGCCTCTGTAAAATTACTCTGTGGTGAGAATAACGTCCCACTTGTACGCTACGTCAATTTCGATGTCAATGTTTCCTTCATCGCTCGTAAATGTATATTTTGTACTGACATTGGTAATCGTAGGATTTAAGGGTACACAGCCGCATGCACGAAGGCATATATGTACATATAAAGAGAGGGAGAGCGATAAGGAATCAAAAATATTTACCTTTCCGCGATATTTTAATCGCCAGTTGCCATTGTAAAAGAGGTTAAGTTGAATACTTGTCCACTAGGATGTGTCATTTTAGGGAAACATACTTTTTCTTTTCAAATGCAGATTGAAAAACTGATAGGAGAAGATAAAAGAAAAATTTTAAAGGAAAAACAAAAATGAGATTAAAATTGTTTTTCTGCGCGAAAATTGTTGGTCTATCATTTACTATCAGTTTTTCAGCACTTGAAAAGAAAATATTGCTCTAAAATGAGACATGCTATTGTCCACGCATAAGAGGCATTTGCGGGCGACAGAGTTTCCTTCTTCGCGATGTTTCCATGCGGAATTATATGTGTAAAATACGTCGTACGTCGAAGAATAGTGGTGTCTCGTGCCATCTTATTATTTTAAAGAAAAATCTCTTCTACAAGTACTTAGGGTGCCATCTTGTGTTTTCGTGTTTTGAATTCGACACATTAGCACTCCCACGCTCGCAAAGCCTCTAATCCTAAACCGCGAACGCTTGCGATTGCGACCTCTGTATCGAATCGTACAAACTGACCGATTTGTAGAAAGTATTTACCATGTGCTACCGTCACGATCGATAATATGTAAGTAATATTGATCGTATTAAAGATTTAAACATAGACAGCGGTTAAGAAATTGTTGGAGTATTTCATATTACGATGTTCTATGTCGGTAACGAAATTTCGAATTTGTATACGACCAGAATTATGAAAAAAGAAAAGAAATATTCGTCGTGAGGGTAAAATTTGATTAGCTTCTCCAGGGGTCAGGTCAATCGATCAAAAATCATCGTGAAAGCCTCGAATATTCTGATTTGAATTAATAATAAATTGTTTTCATTCTCTGTGTCTGTGAACACACCTTCGAATTTGAACACTTAAACGCTGATTGCTAAGCACGACAAACGATTATTACTATCAGATTTTAATAACGCGAAGTTTTATAATTACCCTTTGAAGATTCAAAGATATTCTGAGAAATACACGGAATGAAATTGAAAACCAAATCAAAGTGATCATTCGGAAGTCTCGACTGACGATTCAAACTGATTTTCGGATATCTTCGTGAACGTTAATCGAAATTATGGCGACATCTATGTCAAATTTCATTTTACCCGCCTAATATAAAAGCAAAGCTGTATATACGTATGTATGCATGCCGCTTCGAGAAATATGATTTTTATCTTAAGCTACATTTTAATATTCTATTTTCAAATGCACAGACGATAAATAAAAGTAATTTTTAATTAACCTCGCATAGGAGTTGTGATCAAAAATTAATTGCGTTTCTGTAGCTTTATTTTCAAAGCTAAAAAAAAGCAGCGTTGAATACATGCAGTTAATTTTTGAATACAATCGTGTTACGTGTGCTTTATTCTAAAAAAATAAGGATATCGATATTCAACAATACTCGTTCGCTGTACAAAATATCTGGTGCGTTTATTCAATACATTCGTATATTCTATTTACAAAATGGTCAAAAAATGCCAAGAAATTTAATATAAAACTATAATGGCGCCGATAGCGTCATCATAGCAGCTTTCACTTCGTCGTAGAGATCTTTGTAATCCGCGTGTTCCTTAATGAGTACCATAAGGCTCCCCCTTTTCATACCCATCGCATTACCAATATCTTGTCTTGATGGAGTATAGCAATATGGAATATTCTTATCTTCACATACAATTGGTAAATGACACATGATTTCTATTGGAAAAACATCTCCAGCAAACACAACCAATCTAAGAAGATAAAATTTTGATTATAGAAATATGAAAAAATTTACTTTCATCTTAATAATTTAGTCAAAACGTGAGTAAATATTTAATGTACCCGTGCTCTCCTTTGCGAAGGTGCTTCTGAACATCTTTCAATCCATTTCGAAGGTATGTCTTCTGCTTCGAAGCTGAAATGGTTATATTACAAATGTACAAATACTACAAATATTTTATACAACATCCTCACCGTAAAAAAAAAAATTTTCTAAAGATCTGAAAATTACAATAAGATTACCTTTTTTAATACACTTATAAATTTTCTTCGTTAATTTTTTTGGAGCCATAGGTCTGGCTATGGTATTTATGTATTTCAATTTGTCCTCATAACTAATTTCTGTAGAGTCTGCTCCTTCAACTTCTTTTATGCTGTCATCAATTTCCATTTTGACTGGCGATTGCTCCATTTTACACAGAAAGAATGACAATTTTTTAAAAAAATTTTATTTTATTTCGTCCACGTGTTTTCGATCTACTGAAAGGACGCTAACCTAACCTAAACCACCTAACTAAACATTGGCGCTCATGGACACAGCGTAAGCGTAATGTAAACTCGCCCGTATCAAGAGATAGGTTATGTTGTGACTTAAAACGTTACATAAAAACAGTCCTTTCAACCGGCTTGAGGTGTTTATGTCATTTCACGATGATGTCAATGATTAGACGACGTAAACCTGGAAACAAAACCACGTTATTCTGTCTTGTGACGATAGTAGTGATTTTATTCCAGATCATTTATCTGTGGATCGAAATATCGATCGCGGAATCCCCTCAAGAGAAGTCAGTGCATTGAGTGAGGATCAGATTTGAGAACCTGCTAGGTTATCGTTAGTTCTTAGATTTTAAGATGGCCATGATCATAAGTATTATTTATAAGCGTAACGTAAGCATAAGATACGCAAAATAGAATGGACTGAAAGTAATCAAGTGGAATTATATTTTCAATTTTTTTAAAGTGTATATATCTTTCGAAATTTGTCTAATGTTACAATCACGCATGCGTGAACAATCCAAGTCCGTCTGACAATTCAATCATACAAGATTCTGTTCCACCACGTTCCTTTCATTCTAGAATAAAGTGTTCGAACGTTTCACTCTTCCTAAGTTATAAACTATTTTCGTAAATTTGTTGCTTCCATTGATTATTTTTCTACATATTGTAACCGTACAAAGTAAACAATGACCGTGCGAGATACTATTAGAGAATTAACGCAAGTATGCATGGAGATTCGTAGTAGCTTGGAGTCGCTTGACAGAAAGGAACAGGAGAAATTAATATTAAGGCATATCAAAACGTTTGCGGGCAAAGGGTTGCGAATCGCCGATTTCAAAACAGGTTATTGCTTTCGATATATTTTTCTTGATCAGTGTTTCTTGTGTACGTATAAAAAAATTGTCAACAATTGAACGGTAGGTTGCGTCGAAACGCGTGCGTGTCTTTCCAGCGTTTAGAAATTGATCGATATCGATCGTTTGTTGCCATTGACATTGTTGTGAATGTTCTTGACGAGCAAGTGAGTAATACGTTGTCTTCAGTTTTTCGAAATACCAAATTTTTTGTCGACTTTCTTTATATATAATTCAAAGCATTAAAAGCTAACAAATTTCTTATCAACGATAAGTTTTGATCATCGAACTCGTTCATCGAAGAATTTTTAACCTAACCTAAAATCCAAATACAAGTCAATATTAATTTACGAAGGATGAAAATTCAGGGAGGGCGACAAAAAATACATAATTTGATTATTACAATGATCTACAAGTTATATTTGCCAAATTTTCTGTGCATGTAACCATAGCAAAACTTGTGTATTGTGGTTACCTGAAGAAGATTTTAACGGTTCTCTCTGGTTTTCGTTAGGTGAAAAATACCGCGTGCGATAGTATTCATGTTGCGCAACGAAGAGTCTCAGAAATCCAAGGAACAAAACACAAATGATATTAGGGGGGTGAATGTAGTAAAATCAAATCAACCTATGCGTTTGATCAGTAAAGAGAATGTTTGTCTTATGGAAGAGGAAATACGCGAATATGTTAAGCTCCAAGAACTCGAGAAAGTTCTCGATCAAGAGCTATCTGATTTGAGAATTCAGGACAGAGAATTTCGTTCCACCGAAGAAACTATGGATTTATTGCATAAGTACAATGATATAAGAGATGCGACTCAGGCAGTCTTGGGGGAAATAGCTGTAGCAAATAGAACTACAGTTAGAAGCTTGTACCCACGTTACGGTTTATCCACAGAAGAAGATTAAGTCCATGTTGTTCTTTTCCTTGCTACCATCCCTTGTTCATCCCATTTTTTTTTTATCCATAGTATCTATTTCATTTAATGTCGCTAAAATTGCACGGTTCTTTTCAATGTTCTAATCTTCGACATAGAATTGATCATATGTCGCAAGATAACTAGATTTTCAAAGGAATTCCTTCTTTTGAATATGTCAGGATTGGAATGGTTCAACGTCACAGAGGGATTATCTGTATATCAACATCTTGCTGGAAAGATAATCTTTTTGGATTTCTTTACCTACTGTTGCATCAATTGTATGCACATTTTACCAGATTTAGATGCTCTTGAAAAACAATTCTCAATCGCGGATGGCCTAGTCGTTGTTAGTACATATAACATTCTTTATAAAATGGACTGTTGCCCCTCGATCATCAAGTACATTAATAATGTCTGTTTATAGATTGGTGTACATAGCGCAAAATTTTCAAACGAACGCGATTCGAAGAGATTGTTATCAGCAGTGCAAAGGTACAATATAACGCATCCAGTTGTAAACGATTCGACGCTATCAACATGGCGCAATTTAGGAATCTCCTGCTGGCCATCTGTAGTAATGATAGGTAAGTTGAATGGAATTATTTAAAACCTTGAATAAAAAAACTCTTATATATTATAGGTCCTATGGGCGAACCATTGGCAGTCTTTGTAGGAGAAGGACACAAAAAAGAAATGCTCCTATACACAAACGTAGCATTGGCTTATTTTAAATCATTGAATCAAATTTCGAAGAAAAATCTTCCTTTGCAATTGGCAAGGCACTTATTGCCTACAGGAGGAAAAGAGAATCTGTTGTTCCCTAGCAAGTTAGAAGTTTTTCAAAGTGGACAAAGAGAAAGTCTTATCATAGCCGACACGGGGAACAATAGAATATTGGTAACAGATGTAACAGGAAACGTGGAACACATCATTGGTGGTTCCCAGTCGGGTTTTAGAGATGGGGACTTTGAAAACGCTACGTTTAACGCTCCTCAGGGTGTATGCGCGTTAGGTTCTTCTATTTATGTCGCCGATAATGAGAACCACGCGATTAGAAAGGTAAAAAGTCAACGCATCAATCTATGTAATGGTACATGATCTGAAATATATCTCGCAATATTAACGTAAAATCGTTTTCAGATAGATTTAACAAAGAGGACCGTAACTACGGTCGCTGGCACGGGTTCTCAAGGTCATGATTACGTGGGTGGCAAACCTGGTAAAGATCAAGCTCTGTCTTCTCCATGGGATGTAGCTATTTACAACTACGAACATGATAAACATATCGTACCAGTGTTGTTGATTGCGATCGCGGGTACCCATCAGATTTGGGCTCTTTTCTTGGAAGACACTACTTGGTGGAAGGACAGGTAACGCGAGCAATCTTTTAAAATTCATGACGCTTCGTCTTTAATTGATAGGAAAGTAACATTTTCCATTTTCAAATACTTGCAGAAAATATAAAGCTGGCACGTGCGCTGCGATTGTTGGAAGCGGCAGGGAGGAGAATCGCAATAACTCTTATCCTCATACGGCTGGTTTAGCGCAACCGTCTGGATTGGTCGTCGTTCAAGAGAAAAAGGTCGCCTTTTTTGCGGATAGCGAAAGCAGTACTGTTAGACGCATAGATTTAAACAACGGGCGAGTTACTGCGGTTTGCGGTGCGAATAAGAATCCATCGGTTAGTTTGAGTGCGAAACTAATTTTAGTAACGATTCAAGTTGATACCGAGTTTGGAAACATTTAACAGGATCTACATGATTATGGAGACACCGATGGTGCCCAATACGACGCTAAACTTCAACATCCTTTGGGAGTAACATGGCATGCTAACGAAGGTGTCGTCTACGTAGTCGATACCTATAATCACAAAATTAAAAGAATCGACCCGATCGGGGGCCACTGCAAAACCATCTACGGTGGTGGAAAACCTAACGAGAAATTTTCAGTACGTTTTGTTAGGATAGTCTTCTACACTGTTGCCTCATGCATATTTATGGTCGTAAATCTCGTGTATTTTACAGTTCGACGAACCCAGTGGCATCGCCGTCAGTTCCAACGGGGATCTCTTGTATGTAGCTGACACTAATAATCACGCTGTTAAGGTCATCGACGTGAAGAACGAAGACATTACTACGGTAAATTATTTTTAACAAACGCTTTTAATAAAAACATTATGGTTTCGATATACATATATATTTGCCTTTGTGTTTCAGTTGTCCATAAAAATTCCCATAATCGAATTAGACGACAGTTCTGAAAACGTTTACCATTTTGATACGACGATCAGCGAGAAGGGTGGCGAATTGAATATTACCTTCGTCGTTACTTTTCAAGACAGCGATTTGAAATTGAACCCGGACGCGCCTCAAACGTGGACCGTAAAGTTACCATCAGCGAGCGAATGGACAGTTAAAGCGAAGTCTGGCAAGCTTTCGAGTCCAGTATCGATGAATGTTACCGAAGGAAGCGGAATGCATGAGGTACATGTGAATTTAGATATCATAGCTTGCAAAACCACCGAATGTATACCAAAGAAAGTATCCGTAGTGTATCGTGTACGTCAGAAGACGAACGCATCTGACGTTATAACGGAACAGACGAAACTCGTTATTAAATAATAATGATAAACGTTTTTTCATATCATTAGTTTATCTTTAACGATTTTAACTTCTTGTTTAAATACCGGAGTAGTTTTGATCAGGAGTTGATTGTTAATTTTCATCCAGAATTAGAGTTGTTTCAGGACACCGACAAACCCTTTCTAGATTTTCTCTCTTCTCGATGCGATCGTCCCGTTGAAAAGTGGTCAATCTCAAAGGGGAAAGAAGGGTCAGAATAAATTTTTCAAAATTATTCTACTAACTTATGCGTTTCCTCTAAGCAAGGAAAATTCTCTTTGGTAACTAGGGGTTATGCGAAAGTGTGAATGTTTTTGAAATTTTATATTTTTTATTGAAAAGAATGATTTTTGTACTACGTATGCAAAAACTGAACAAATGTTGAATATATAGTACAAGATGAATGATTTTACACGATATACTTAAGTGACTTATTGTATTAACATTGAGTTAACTGAAGAGTGTCTAGAGGACAGAATGTTACATTAATTATGTTAACAAATCTAATAAAAAAAAGTATTCAGGCAATGCGCAGATATTAATAAAATTATATAAAAAGCTTTACTATTGCAGAAAAAACGACGTTTGTAAGTTGCGTATCCTGTAGGTAATAAGTGCCTGCATCCTTTTAGATATAGACACCAAAATCAGGAAACTTTA